GGCGGACAGACAGGAGAGGGTGAGGACGGACAGGAGAGGCGGGGGACGGACAGACAGGAGAGGCTGGGGACGGACAGGAGAGGCTGGGGACGGACGGACAGACAGCCGCGGGGCAGCGTCCGGCTCCGGACACACGAGGAGGATGCGGCTCCTGAACACAACAGCCTCAATCTCAAGGCCGAGGGTGCCGCAGATGAGGCGGGGTGCGATGTTCCTTTGCGGAGGAGCCGCGGGGAGGTTCGGCAGCGGGGGAAGGGAGGTTTAATGATGGCTTTGTGGCAAAGCACAGCATCTTTTTCTGTTTTCTTAGCGACTGCTTCACGCCGCTGGCATTTGATTGAAGCCCATCTCCTCGCACGGATTGGGTTCTGCTCACCTTTTCCAGCAGCACATCCTTGGATCCCTCATCCATTTAATCTGCCTTGTGTGAGTGCAGGGCCATGCAAAGTACCTTTAACTCAAAGCCCACTTTCTCTTCCCTTTCCCAGAGTCTCTCTTTCCTCCAAAAGCTCTTCAGCAGCCTGGGAGCTCCTGGGGAGAAAGGCTCTTTGATGAGGGGAAAAAAGGACCTGTCCTCACTGAAGCTCCCAGGCTCCTCTGAACTCTTCAACATTAAAAATGTTAATTAAAATACCAAAATCTGGCGATGTTCTCATGCAAAATCAGCATGGATTTGTCCCACTGTCCTCCCACAGCACCAATGCCAGGCTTTCAGCCGGCTCTGGAGCTGACAGCTCTGGGGATTTTCAGCCAGGAGGAGGAAATGCTCCAGGTGAGGGATGGAGCAGCTCTGCCATGAGGAAAGGCAGGACTGGGGTTGTTCAGAGAGGAGAAGGTTTGGGGTGACCTCACTGAGACCTCCCAGTGCCTGAAGGAGCTGCAGGAAAGGTGGAGAAAGACTTTGGACAAGGGATAGAAGGACAGGACACGGGGAATGGATTTAAACTGAATTAGAGTGGGATTAGATGGGATCCTGTGATGGAATTCTTCCTTGTGAGGGTGGGGAGGGGCTGGGCTGGAATTGCCAGAGCAGCTGTGGCTGTCCCTGGATCCCTGGCAGTGCCCAAGGCCAGGCTGGACATTGGGCCTGGAGCAGCCTGGGACAGTGGGAGGTGACCCTGGGGACAGTGGGAGGTGACCCTGGGGACAGTGGGAGGTGACCCTGGGGACAGTGGGAGGTGACCCTGGGGACAGCGGGAGGTGTCCCTGCCATGTCTGGGGTGGGATGGGACAGGATTTTTTCCCTTTCCCTTCCTCTGTGGATGCTTTCATGGATATATTTATAAAATCAGGGATTTAGGGCAGTGCAAACACAGCAGTCCCCTCCCGTGTTCACACACACAGAGCTTGCTCCCCAAACACCTAAACCTGCCCCACCCATTTATGGACCATCAGGGCCCAGAGTGAAATAAAACCTGAAATTTGGGAGATTTTGCCCAGGACCCATCTGGGCTGGGGTTTTTCTGTTTTCCTGCCCTGCACACAAGGATCTCTTGGTGCAGACAGCACTTGCTCCCCGTGAATGGGGATCATTCAGAGTCCTCCATAAATGAAGCCTCTATGGCTGTTCTTGCGGGGAAAATATAAAGTTGCTCTGTGTCATTCTGCTGTTAATTAGCAAAGATAAATACATTTCAGGTGGGAATTTTCACCAGCAGAGCTTGTGGCACATAAGCAGCAGTAAAGCCTTGGAAAGAGGGCGAGAGGCAAAGGTGTGCTGGGAGCTCTGGGGCTGCATTGATGCCTCTGGAAAAGCAGTGTTTATTTTTAAAATATGAAACATCATTTCTCCCCAGGCCCCCGAGAAGGAGAACACTGGAGTCAATATTTCAGGAGGAAAATGTGCATTTCGAGCTCTTCCCCAGCCTGCCTGCAAGGTAAACACAGGAACCGTGGACGGCCCGTGCCGGCCCCAGCGTGGCCCTGCTGCTGTTGTGGCCTTCACGTGTCCTGGCCTCTCCTCCAACCCCTCAAATCCATGGATCCTGACTCCAAAGGTGCTGCTTTCAAACACCAAATCCACACTTCCCCTTCACCGGTGGAGAACCAGGAAATTTTGGTCCCACCTTGCTCCTGCTGAAGGCAAAAGGTTCAGAATCCCCCGTGCTGGTCACTGGTGAGGGCACACCTGGAATTTTGGGGGCAGTTTTGGAAAAGAAGGACATGGAGTGGCTGGAGTGAGCCCAGGGAAGGGAACAGAGCTGAGACAGGCTGGAGAATCCCTGAGGGAGCTGGGAAGGGGCTGGAGAATCCCTGAGGGAGCTGGGAAGGGGCTGGAGAATTCCTGAGGGAGCTGGGAAGGGGCTGGAGAATTCCTGAGGGAGCTGGGAAGGGGCTGGAGAATTCCTGAGGGAGCTGGGAAGGGGCTGGAGAATTCCTGAGGGAGCTGGGAAGGGGCTCAGGCTGGAGCAAAGGAGGCTCAGGGGGAATTTCTGTCTCTGCACAAGTCCCTGGCAGGAGGGGACAGCCGGGGGGGTCGGGCTCTGCTGCCAGGAACAGGGACAGGAGGAGAGGGAACGGCCTCAGGCTGGGCCAGGGGAGCTCACGGGGATATTTGGGAACATTTTCTCAGGGAAAGGGTTGTGAGGCATTGGCTCAGGTGGAATCAGGGATGTGGTGGAGTCCCCATCCCTGGAATGTCCTAAGAGGGTGTGGAGGTGGCCCTTGGGGACATGGCCAGTGGTGGCCCTGGTGGTGCTGGGTGACAGAAGGACTTGGTGATCCCAGGGGTCCTTCCCAGCCTGAGGAATTCTGTGATTCCAAGACTCCAGAGTGATCGAATAAACAATGTAAATGCAGATCTTCCTCCATCACAGCCCTTCCCAGGAATGCTGATCAGCTGGGAACAGCCAGGGAAAACAACACTGGATTTTCCAGGGGACTGACAGCTCTTGTTTAGAGGCGGCACCGCACTCGTGCCATTCGTTCTGCTCGAGTTTTAGTTCAAAACTGAATTTGAGCTTGGGATTTCCATATTTCCAATAAACACCCCCTGATTGCATTTAATGTCTCGCTATAAATTTCACCCTGCAGTGAGCCCAAGCGTTAAAATCAAAATGCAGCAGCAGTCCCTGAGGCACTGCCATGGAAATGACCCAGAAAAATGGGAAGGGGAAAAAGGAAATCAGGAATCTCAGGACGTTCCCAAACTTCCAGTGGAGGCAGGGTAAGGAAATCACCTCAGGTTGGACCAGGAGAGGTTTGAATGGGCATTAAGAAAAATTTCATCATGGAAAGGGTGGTCAGGAATTGGCACAGACTGCCCAGGGCAGTGATGGAGTCAAATTGGAACTGCTCAAAAAACGTGTGGGTTGGGCACTTTAGGATGTGGTTTAGTGGTGGCCATGGCTGGACATGAGGAGCTTAAAGGCTTTTTCCAACCTGAACAATGCCACGAATTACATACTGGATTTTTCTTTATTTTTTGTAGCCCTGGACCAGAAATTCTTCTCCAGGGGGATCTGGAGGGTGCCTGAGTTCCACAGGTGAGGCAGAATAAAAAGGCTGGGAAGGGAGCAGTGGTCAAACTCTGAGTTGTTTGCTGTTGGTTTTTATTTCATTCTAAACAAACCTGGGACTTGTAGTAAACACAGCTCTGCTGCCCTCCAGCCTCCAGAAAGCTCCAAGGTTTTACAAAATGCTCCAAAACTTCTGCCTATTTCTGGCTCCCTTTGATGTTCCAGGTGAGTGTTCCAAGCTGGATTCCCACTCCACTTTTCACCCCGCAGAGAAATGAAGACAAAAGCTCCAATTCTTGGGTTTTACCCCCCTAATGTTTTTATTTTGAGGTTTGAGGGTTGGAGGGACCCCCTCCCAACCTCCTGCATCCCCATTTCCCACCCTGGCAACACGGAATTACAGCAGTGGGGGCACAGCAAAGCATCCAACAAATGATGCTGGGGAGGCAGGAGTGGCTTGGAAAATAACCCCTGCACCGAGTCAGGATCAAAGGAATTTCT